CCCAGAGCCAGCCGCAGACTCCTCCCCATCGCCCCAGAGCCAGAGCCAGCCACAGACCCCTCCCCATCGCCCCAGAGCCAGTCACAGACCCCTCCCCAGAGCCAGCCACAGACCTCTCTCCATCGCCCCAGAGCCAACCACAGACCCCTCCCCATCACCCAGAGCCAGCCACAGACCCCTCCCCAGAGCCAGCCGCAGACCCCTCCCCATCGCCCCAGAGCCAGAGCCAGCCACAGACCCCTCCCCATCGCCCAGAGCCAGCCACAGACCCCTCCCCAGAGTCAGCCGCAGACCCCTCCCCATTGCCCAGAGCCAGTCACAGACCCCTCCCCAGAGCCAGCCACAGACCCCTCCCCAGAGCCAGCCACAGACCCCTCCCCATCACCCAGAGCCAGCCACAGACCCCTCCCCAGAGCCAGCCGCAGACTCCTCCCCATCGCCCCAGAGCCAGCCGCAGACCCCTCCCCATCGCCCCAGAGCCAGCCGCAGACCCCTCCCCAGAGCCAGCCGCAGACCCCTCCCCATCGCCCCAGAGCCAGAGCTGCCCTCGGCTCTCCCTATCCCCGAAGCCAGAGCTGCCCTGGGTGCCCCTTCCCACGAGCGACCCAGACCTGACCCGGCCTTCACCCCCAGAGCTGCCATGGGAACAGAATGACACCTGGCCCCTCCCTTCCCCTTCACTCGCTGCCCGGGGGCCCCCTCCTCGAGACTGCACCGGAGCTGCCCCTGCCCCACTCCCACATCCGCCCACCCTGGAGCCTGCCCTCAGAACCACAGCTGGGGCTGCAGGACACAGAGAGCGGCTGCAGGCTGGAGTCACTTCTCCCCGGTCTCTCCAGCCACCCCCAGGGAAGGAGCAGAACCTGAGCTGCCCAGTGTGAACTGGCTCAGTCTAGCCATGCAGGCCCAGTCACAGCGCGCTGCTCCCCAACACGAGGTCAGAGCCTGCGTGTCCTCAGACAGCAAACCCCGGCCAGGGCCAGGGCCAGCAGCTGCCGGCGGCCAGGAGCCGGAGCCAGGAGCCGGAGCCAGCGGCGCTCTGCTGCCGTCTGCTGGGGAGCATTAGTACCAGCACGAGTATGGCAAACACCCACGCAACAGGTGCACACACACAAGGGGGCACAGGTGGGGGCTGCGCACACGCACACACACACACTGAACGCAGAGCCGGTGACAGCGACACATGCATGGAAACACAATGAGTCTGAGACAGACACTCCCCCGCTACCACTTGGACACCTACGTGGCCTAGCCCAGCATGCACCCATGGTATATCCATTCAGCACGCCCCGGCCCAGGCTCAGAAGCCCTACTGCCCTGCAGGAGGCCCGAGGACCCTTGCCCCAGCAGGCAGTGCTCTGGCATGGTTAGGAGGGTCAGGGAATCCGAACCTGCTTAATGGGAATGGCTCGCCCGATGCCGATACTGTCCGCCTTGCACTCCGGCACCTTCTTCTCCCGCTCCGGGTCTGCGCCCTTTCGAGACTGGAAGAGAAGAGACACAGGCGCATTAGACACAGGGGCAGGGGAAGAAGTAACACGCAGCCCACTTTTCTCCCCAACGGGCCAGCACACGCTCCCCAGGGCAGCCTCTTCCCCGTCCCCTCTAAGGACGCTGTGATCAGACTCAACTCCCATCCTGGCCTCCCCAGAGCCCACCTGCTCCCAAGCTTCCCGCCCAGCCCCCCAAACCATCTAACATCCTGCCCCAGAGCCGTTCTCCTCGCAGCAAAGGGCTGCCCCTGACTCCTCACTCCCTCGGGGGCACACAGCACACGGTGACACAAACAGGAAGAGCATGGGATGTCGGTGGAGCATGGATGGAAGCAGGAGAGGCCAAGGCAGTGAAAGGAACTCACACTCCTACTAATCCAACAGATTTATTCTGTGAACACACTTGCACCATACAAAGTAGCACAGGTCACTGGGCAGAGAGACCAGCCCCTTACAAAAGAGCATGGACAATAACTATCTAGTATACATCTAGAGAGTCTAGAGCAGTATCGGATACTCCTTGAGGATGGCTGTGGTGAGAGCAAACTCCAATAAATACAATATGAAATATACAGTCTGTTGAGCAGAACTCATTCAAGGTGCTTAAGACAGGAAAATATCAAGTCATACACGGCATGGAGCACAATCAATACATTCAGAATCACAACAATGGCAGCAGAAGGGCAGCAACAACGTCTCTCCCTTGTGTCCTACGAGCTCCCTCAGGTGGGGAGCTCCCCATGTGCTTTGGATCAGAAAGGAGCGTCTGCCCCGCGCGCCTGGGACACCAATCCGCTCGCTTTTGGGCCCAGAATAAAACCAGGAGATTGAAAGAGAAGAAATGAAAGAGACACAGATGGCTGCTCTGCCACGAGGAGGAAGAGGAGGAGGAGCAGGAGTCCATGCAGGCTGCAGGAAAATGCAGGAGGAAGGAAGGGGCCGGAGTGCTAGCAGCAGGCGCTAGTGGCAGCAAAGCGTCCCTTGGCCCATCCATCTCCACTTGCTGCCGTTGCCCTGGTCCCGCTGGGTCTGCAGGTCTTTCCATCCCAGGAGGGTCGTCCGCCTGGCATCCCCGGAACACGGAAAGTGCCTAGACAGCATCCGGCAGGCCCAGAAATGTCCCGGCTTAGAGTGCAGGCGCAGGCCGTCTCAGCGCTTCCTAGACTTTACATTGGGGGGGGGTTAAAAGGCTCCTGCGTGTCTCCGGGAGGGGAACCCATGCTGGCTGGAGGGCGGGCGGGCGAGCCTCTAATCTTAGATCAATCCCAGTGCCCATCCCTTATCCGGCCCTGGAGAGGCAATGAAAAGTGAGAGAATTTGTACAGAGGTGCCGTGTGTAACCACCTGGATCTTCTAATTTGGAAGGAGTTGGAAAGGCCTTTTTGTAGATGAAAAGTTGGAAACAGTGGCACATATCTGCAAATATCGAAAGAATAAAGAGTTTGGCAAGTTATACTCAGAACACGGACATGAGTCTGTCGGCGGTGGGGACAGACAGACAGGCCAGCCATGGAGCGCGGAGCCAGAGGCAGCTCGGGAGCTTGGGAGGCCGCCATCACTGAGAACGGGAGTCTGTCTCCACCTGGTGGCCACTGACACACACACCCTCTGCCTGCACCTCACTCACCGGGACAGGAACACAGGATGGGCCCGAGGCAGCAGATGAAACTCCAGGGAACAAACTGCAGCTCGGAGCTGGGTGAGCTGCCCCTGGGACACAGCTGCTCCCAGAGCAGGGTACTTAATGTCTCTCCCCAATGCTAGAAACCTAGGCAAGGCCCTGCACGCCCACCCAGAGGGGCCAGCCGAACCAGGGACAGCAGGCCTTGCCGCTTCCCCTGCCCCGTGTACGCAGGGATGGGGGGGTGCTTGGCCATGCTAGCAGCCGGACAAACTGCTCTGCCCAGCCCAGCTGTGGGGGGAGGGAGCAAATCAGCGCCTTCAAATCCTGCTGCTGCCGCTGCCGCCACCACCCAATGCGAGTCATGTGCGTGCAGCCAGCGAGCGTGAGCCCCAGCACAGTCAAGTGAGCAAGAACCCCAGACTGAGTGAGCATGAACCCCACAGAGAGCAAGCGAGTGTGAGCCGCAGACTGAGCGAGCGTGAGCCCCACATAGAAGGCAAGCGAGCAGGAACCCCCAAGAGACGGCAAGCAAGCGTGAACCCCAGACTGAGCGAGAGAGGGCAAGCGAGCAGGAACCCCCAAGAGATGGCAAGCAAGCGTGAACCCCAGACTGAGCGAGAGAGGGCAAGCGAGCAGGAACCTCCAAGAGACGGCAAGCAAGCGTGAGCCCCAGACTGAGCATGTGCCCCCCAAAGGGCAAGTGAGTGTGAGCCCCAGACTGAGCGAGCGTGAGCCCCACATAGAAGGCAAGCGAGCAGGAACCCCCAAGAGACGGCAAGCAAGCGTGAGCCCCGATTGATGACTTCCATAGTGATCAAGCATGAGCCCAGAATGAAGAAGCTGAGAATGAGCATGTCACCACAAGCCTGACGCGCTCCAGCAGGAGCGAAAGGGAGAGCGTGAACATGAACCGACGGCGAGTCCAGAACCAGTGGGTGCGTGGACGAGCGTGAGAGCGCATGAGAGAACCGGTTTGCACCGGTGCACAACAGCAAGTGTGAACATGAGCGAGAGTAACGGCGGGGGAGGAAGCAGGAACATCCATTAGAACAGGAGCACAACGGTGGGCATGACCACGTAGGAGACTCTACAGGCCCTTGTTGAGCGGAGGTGGGGTGAGAATGTGGAGGGTGCATGTGCTGGAGGGTGCTGGGGAGCAGCGGGGTGCACAATGGGAACTGTGTGCACTGGGGACGAGGGTGTTGGGGAGGTGCAGGTGGGTGAGAGGTGTATGCATTGGGCATATGGGTATGCACACTGGGAAGGTGGGTATGTGTGGATGTTGGGGAGCAATGAGTGTGTGCATACACTGGAATGCAGGTGATGGGGAGCAGTGAGTGTGCATGCACTGGTGTATAGGTGTTGGGGAGCAGTGGATGGGTGTTGGGGAACAGTGGACGGGTGTGCACGCCAGTGTACAGATGTTGGGGAGCAGTGGGTGGGTGTGCGCACTGGTGTACGGGTGTGCACACTGGTGTACAGGTGTTGGGGAACAGTGGACGGGTGTGCGCACTGGTGTACAGGTGTTGGGGAGCAGTGGGCGGGTGTGCGCACTGGTGTACGGGTGTTGGGGAACAGTGGATGGGTGTGCGCACTGGTGTACAGGTGTTGGGGAACAGTGGATGGGTGTGCACACTGGTGTTGGGGAACAGTGGACGGGTGTGCACACTGGTGTTGGGGAGCAGTGGGCGGGTGTGCGCACCGGTGTACAGGTGTTGGGGAGCAGTGGGCGGGTGTGCGCACTGGTGTACAGGTGTGGGGAACAGTGGATGAGTGTGCGCACCGGTGTACAGGTGTTGGGGAGCAGTGGACGGGTGTGCGCACTGGTGTACGGGTGTTGGGGAACAGTGGATGGGTGTGCGCACCGGTGTACAGGTGTTGGGGAACAGTGGATGGGTGTGCGCACCGGTGTACAGGTGTTGGGGAGCAGTGGGCGGGTGTGCACACCGGTGTACAGGTGTTGGGGAGCAGTGGGCGGGTGTGCACACCGGTGTACGGGTGTTGGGGAACAGTGGGCGGGTGTGCGCTCCGGTGTACGGGTGTTGGGGAACAGTGGGCGGGTGTGCGCTCCGGTGTACGGGTGTTGGGGGACAGTGGATGGATGTGCGCACTGGTGTACGGGTGTTGGGGAACAGTGGATGGGTGTGCACACTGGTGTTGGGGAACAGTGGACGAGTGTGCGCACCGGTGTACAGGTGTTGGGGAACAGTGGACGGGTGTGCACACTGGTGTACGGGTGTTGGGGAGCAGTGGACGGGTGTGCGCACCAGTGTACGGGTGTTGGGGAGCAGTGGACGGGTGTGCGCACCGGTGTACGGGTGTTGGGGAGTAGTGGGTGGCTGTTGGGGAGCAGTGGGCGGGTGTGCGCACTGGTGTACAGGTGTTGGGGAACAGTGGACGGGTGTGTGCACTGGGGTACGGGTGTTGGAACAGTGGACAGGTCTGCGCACAGGTGTTGGAACAGTGGACGGGTGTGCGCACCGGTGTACAGGTGTTGCGGAACAGTGGACAGGTGTGCGCACCGGTGTACAGGTGTTGCGGAACAGTGGACAGGTGTGCGCACCGGTGTACAGGTGTTGGGGAACAGTGGACAGGTGTGCGCACCAGTGTACAGGTGTTGGGGAGCAGTGGGCGGGTGTGCGCACCGGTGTAC